GCGCGAACCCACGAACCATGGGATCATGACCTGAGCTGAAGTCGGACGCACAACCGACTGAGCCACCCAGGCGCCCCAATGAGCACACACATTTTAGAAGAGTCTCAATATCTGCTTATTTTAATATGTATACTTTACCTTGTTTCAAAAAGGATTCTAGAGGACACAGAACATGCATTCAGAAAACATATTATTCAATAAAATACAGAATATTAGCACATCTTAACCAAAATATTGTTGCCAATGTTCTTTAGCTTTCCTTGTCAAAATGTTGATATTAAGTTTGCAATTTTACTAAGTACGGTAGAAAAAGGGGTAGGGGAACAAACCTTAGTGCTTTGCTTGAAAACAATTCAAACCAGGAAGTATCCTTATTACAATAAGAAAGGGATCAAATCAAATCAGTAAGTAATTCTGAAGGTGGCACCAGAAGAAAGAACTTAGCAAAAAAAAAAAAAAGGGGGGGAGGTAAGATTTAATTTATACAGAAATTAAGCAGTTGCCTGGGTGGCTCAGTCGGTTAAGCATCTGGATTAAGATTCTGGATTCTGACTCAGATGATGATCTCAGTTTGTGAATTTGAGCCCCACTTCTGGCTCTGCTCTGACAGCATGGAGCCTGCTTGGGATTCTCTCTCTCTCTCAAAATTAATAAATAAACTTTAAAAAAAAGAACTGTTTAAAAAAAAGAAATTAAGCTGTTGACTATTTGCTCTATGTTGAGTTACTCATTTCAAAAAGGTATTCTTAAAATTCCTTTAATGAATGAACTATTCATTATAATGTTATAAACTAATTGCATTTTTTTCATTCTATTTTCAGGATCCTGTTACTGGAAGTCACAAAGGTAACTATGTAGGGCATGAGAAAATAAATACAAAGCCTCTCTATGGTATTTTAATGAAGCTAAATGCACTAACTGAAAGTATTTAAAGAAAACTTTACTGTGTATCATTAAGCACAAAATAAATAACTTACAACAATTGTAGACTTGTCTTAAGTCTAACACCATGGGTTACTTGGAATATTAAGCTACATTTCTCATGTTTGTTTTAATTAAAAAAGTGCGATTTTATCATTATGTATATATTATAGAGGGAAGGGGATATATCATACTCCTATCTTGAAAGAAGTCAATTTTCTCCAAATTGAGCTGCAAATTTAATACTTCCAATTAAAAATAATATTTTAATCATTCCAATTGAATAACAAGGTTACTTAGGGCTTGGGAAAAAAATCTTAAAGTATATCTTTAAGTAAAAATGCATAAAATCCAATAAAGTTTGCAAAAGAATAAGGGGCTTTCCTCACCAGTAATGAGGTAATAAAACTTCATTAATTAAAACAGTGGAGGGGTGCCTGGCTGGCTCAGCGAGTGGAGCATTTCACTCTCGATCTTGGGGCTGTGAGTTCGAGCCCCTCACTGGGTGTAGAGATTACTTAAAAATAAAAATTAGGGGCGCCTGGGTGGCGCAGTCGGTTAAGCGTCCGACTTCAGCCAGGTCACGATCTCGCGCTCCGTGAGTTCGAGCCCCACGTCGGGCTCTGGCCTGATGGCTCGGAGCCTGGAGCCTGTTTCCGATTCTGTGTCTCCCTCTCTCTCTGCCCCTCCCCCATTCATGCTCTGTCTCTCTCTGTCCCAAAAATAAATAAAAACGTTGAAAAAAAAAATTTTTTTTTAATAAATAAAATAAAATAAAAATAAAAATTAAAAAAATCTTAAAAAAATAGCAGATACTAGTACAAGAATAGATCGATGAAACAGCACTGGGAATCTTGAAACATGCAAGAATACAGAAGAATTTTAGTCTATAATAAAGACAGTATTTCAAAACTGTGGTATAATCAAATAATAATTCAATTAGTGATTTTGGGACAAGTGGCTAAATATTTAGGTGAACCTAAAATTAAGTCTCTAGATCTCATCATATCACAAACTAAAATAATGAGTACATTACATGATAAAATGTAAAAAAAAAAAAAAAAAAGGAAAGAATTCAAATTACTAAAAGAAAACGGATATTAACCATATAATAATTGGAGGAATAGCTATAAAATTACACAAGTCAGAAACATTAAAAAAAGAAAAAAAAGGCCCTGACAATCCAAAACACAGGTGCACATACTTTCCTCCACGTTAAACGTATGTACAAAAAAAAAAAAAAAACACAAAAAAAACACACACACAAAAAAAAAACACACACACACAAAAAAAACACACAAAAAAAAAACACACAAAAAAAAAACACACACACAAAAAAAATAAAATAAACGTATGTACAAAGTTGAAAGACCAAAAAAAAAAAAAAAAAAAAGATGGGGGGAAAAAAAATGCAACCTATCACAGAAAAACAATCTTCGTATCAAAAAGATTAATACAGGGGCGCCTGGGTGGCGCAGTCGGTTAAGCGTCCGACTTCAGTCAGGTCACCATCTGGTGGTCCGTGAGTTCGAGCCCCGCGTCGGGCTCTGGGCTGATGGCTCAGAGCCTGGAGCCTGCTTCCGATTCTGTGTCTCCTTCTCTCTCTGCCCCTCCCCCCTTCATGCTCTGTCTCTCTCTGTCTCAAAAATAAATAAACGTTAAAAAAAATTTTTTTAAATTAAAAAAAAAAGAATACAGCAATAGATTGCAGCACAAAGGATTATGAGTATGTAATTTACAACTAAATGTAACTAGCATACCAATATATGAAAAATGTTCAATAGAACTAGTAATTAAAGGAATGAAAATAAAAAACAGAAAACAGTGAGGAGCACGATAAAATGCAAGGGGGAAATGAGGACCAAAATACAATGTTACCAGGACTCCGAATAGATACAACCTTCCTATAGGGCAATATGTAGCAAAGTTTAAAATGTGCTCCTGGCCCAATAATTCCTTTCAGGAACCTAAACTAAGGAAATCCTCTCAAAGATGTACACATATGAATTCATCACAGGGTTGTTTGTAATGTTGATAATCGGAAACCTAAATGCCCATCAATGAATACATATTAGTACCTCATAAACGAAAATGCCATAAATCTATTTAAAAGGATGCAGAGATGATATTTATTAAAATAGGAAAAAAGTGGTCATGACATTTTACATGGAAACCCCATGTGAGCAGGTTGGGCAAAGCCTGGATGTCTTGTTCTTCAACCTTATTTCCAGCACCTAGAAAAGTGCCTTGTAAAAAAGGAGCTCCCAGAAAGCATTTTACTAAATAGATAAATTTTAAAAGCAGGCTACAGAACAATAATTATAATGTCAATCCCCACCCCGTTCCTTCTTTCTTTCTCTCTACACACACACACAATTGGAAGGACAGCCACAAAAGGCTGACAAGGTGAAGTTCTGGTGTGTGTAACTTTTCTTTATTCCTCTCTGTACTGTCTAAATTTCTTACATAGTTAGCATTTTTAAAATTTTTATGATTGGAAAATAGTAACAACATTGCTTTTTAAGAACTCATATATATTTAAAATGAACTCCAGAAAGTGTTCAGTGACATCAGCTACAAACTACAAAAACTGAGATCAGCAGTATCCAAGCGGCATGTTTTTTTCACCTCCAAATAAATATCTTTGGAGTATGTTTTCTACAATGTACCACCTTTTTCCAGTACCAGGAAATGCCACCCTATCCTGATAAAATGCAAAATTTCCAAAAGGAAAAGCACATTTTTTTCTAGAGTAAAAAGCGGGGTGGGGGGGGGGTGGTGAGTAACAAATTTCTTAAAAGTCCTCCCATCTCAGGGTGGCTCAGTAGGTTAAGGATCTGACTCTTGATTTCAGCTCAGGTCATGATCTCACAGCTCTCGGGATAGAGCCCTGCATCCAGCTCTGCACTGACAGCCCAGAACCTGATTGGGATTCTCTCTCTCCCTCTCTCTCTCTCTCTCTGCCCCTCCCCCGCTTGTGCTCTCTCAAAAATAAATAAATAAACATTAAAGAAAAAAGTCTTCCCATCTCCTCTATTGACACACGCCCTCTTCTAGTTGGTGATAAAGATTACTATGCATAATCATGTTTTTTTCAGGCTAAAATGCCAGTGAATCTGTATCAGCAATGTGCTCTCTGTAATGCTTTCCTTTCTTTAGGAAGGCAGATTTCATTTTAAAGACATTTAAACAAGTGAATGTTTATTATTATTCTATCATTATTCATTACTCATTATTCTATCATTATTCATCCCACTACCCTATTTTATATCATTCAGACTTTATCACTATGTGAAATAACCCTATTTGAATTATTATCTGCCTCTCCTTTCCAGAATGTAAGCTCTATGAGGACAGGAATGTTGTCCTGCTCACCACTGTGTCCCCAGTGAATGGCATCTAGTAAGGACTCAAGATGTAGTTGTTAAATTAATAATGAAAAAGGTCGGGAGGGGGGAGATAAATTTAAATAAGACTATATGTAAGGAAATGGAAAAAAGGAAAGAAAACTACAATGAAATACACAAGCTGACGTGACTCTAGGCTGTAACGTCAGCCAGGAGGTTTGGTGGATATTTTTCAAGGTGGACAGGTGCTCCACACCTATCTAAAGGCATCCAGGAAGAAGAAAAATCCACAGGGAGGTCTCCGGGTAGCTGTGTACAGCTCCCAGAAGAGTGAAAATGATCATCATCATAACAGAAATGTCGTCCAGGTCGAAAAAACAACTACAGCACAACAACACACTATATTTGGCCCAGATGAAAAATCAAACGAAGCCCCAACACAATGAAACCAAGCAAGCAACGTTCCGCCGACACATAGAAAGATCATAGTCTCCTTTCCCCAGGCCGTGCAGTCGCCCGCAGCCCAGCAAACCCCCTCACTCACCACTTTCCCCCCTCAAGGACCCCCGCCCCAGCTGGTCCAAGGTGAGAGGGAATGGAGTAACAGTCTGAGAATTAGCTTTCTCCACTCCCACCCGAGCCCAATCCTCTCCAAAGCGCAATGCCTCCCACTCTCCCACCCGGAGGCCCTGACCCCCGCGCCAAGGGCTTCTCCTGCTGCCCCTCACTCACGTGTAGATGATGGCCATGAAATGCATCAGCCACAGCACCAAGAAGAGGACGAACCCGAAGACGGCCATTCCCTCCAGGGCCAGGTCCAGCAGCGCCATCCCCCGGCCCGGCCCGGCCCGCTCCGGCCGCCGGCGCGGACCGCGCTCCCGCCGGAGGACAGGGTGGGCGCCCGGCGCGGGGGCGCTGGAGGGGAGAGGAAGGTGGGGAGAGGAAGGGGCGGAGGGGGGTGGGGACGGAAGGGGCGGGCAGGGCCTGCGCGCCCCGCCCGCGCGCACTCGTTCCCTCGCTGCCCTGGGCGCGCTCGCGGCTGCGGGCGCTGCGGTGGCCGGGCTCCGTGGTCAGAGCGGCAGTGGCCCCCACGCTCCGGCTCGCCTCTCCACACCCTCACGGCCGCCGGCCGGTCCTTGAGCGCCTGCGCCCCAGATGCCAACGCCCCGCCGCCTCGCCGCGGGACCCCGGGCCGCGCAGCTCCGCACCCTGCTCCGCCGCCGCAGCTCCGTGCACTAATCGAAACCGGCGGCCAGCGATCCGACTCCCCGGCGCGCCCCGCCTCGCCCCCGCCCTCCGGAACCGTGGCGCCCGCCTCTCCGAGGGGCGGTGCGCGCCGCTGCTCCCCGCCCACCTTGCCGCCCTCGCGCCCGCTGCGTCACCGTCACCTTCGAGAGCGCGCCCCCGCGAGGCTTCTGCTGGACGCGAGCCCGCCTTCTCTCCCCGGGCTCCTGTCTCCGCCGGCGCCTACCCCTCGGCGTCGGGCGGCGGCGCCCCGGGCGGCCAGCCCTGCAGCCCCGGGGCCGGCCTCCCCCGGCGGTGGCGGCGCGTGACCGTGTGTCCGGCTCAGAGGCTGCTTGCCCTCTGTCCGGCTGCAGTGTTCGGGGGCGCCCCAGAGAAAGACACGGAGTTCCAGGCAGCCGCTCGGGTTGTCTCGAAATCCAGTTTCCAACGCTGTATCTGCAGCTTCTCCGCCGGGCACCGCTCAGAGAGGCTTAGGCCCTCCTCCAGGCCATGCTCCTGGACGCACGGGTGTCCCATTGCCTTTCTTTCTCAATGCTTTTAATGCTGTGTTGTCTTGGATCACAACCGACCGGAGAGCAAAATAATCGTACGCCTCACATATCTCTAAGCACCGTAGAGAATGTAACGTAAAAGAAATTCTCACATTCACAAATATAAGGAATCAGTTAGTATGGAAGTCCCCTAAGACTACTGTCCAATACGGTAGCCATATGTGGCTATTGAGCGCTTAAAATGTGGTTGGTAGAAATTGAGACGTGCTGTGCGTCTAAACCATACGCCGATGTCGAAGACCACCTCATTAACCAATTTTGGTTACAATTATTGATTACATCGTGAAGCTATATTTTGATATATTGGGTTAAATTAAAAATTATTGATTTTACTGTTTTTGTTGTTTTACTTTTAAAATATAGCTAGTTACCAGAAAATTTTAAATTACGCATGTGGATAGCACTGCTCTAAAATGTTAAACAGTGGCACTATGGATTGTAAGGCAATTTAGCATTTATCTTCATTTTAAATCTGTCCAGGGAGATGTTTTAATCTAGTATTAAATGTTCCTGTTTGTTTCTTTAGCCTAGATGAGTTTATATTGTTTCTTGATTGTTTTATGTTTAGACAGTGTTTATTATTTCAAGTGATTTCCTTTAAAATAATCCATGACCTCCCTTGAGATTTCAGAATTGCATTCAATTTTGAAAAGAAGTTGGTTATTTTATCATTGCTATTTATTATAGCTGATATTGAGTAAATGAACTACCTTAATCTACAATTAAGTGATAAATTACAATCAGAGAAGAGTTTAAATTAATGTCTGTACTGAGAACCAATCTGCATTTACTATACTTTGTGTTTTACTGGGGTAAAGTCGGTGAGAAAGAACAATGCTTACACAGGAAACTTCTATTGTTCAGAGTTATTGGTTGATGAATTAAAGTTATAGTGGGATGGTACACTACTAGCAAAATAACTACAAATGGAAAAAAATTTTAAGTTTATTTACAGAGAGAGAGTGTATGTGCACACGTGTGCGCGTGTGCAAGCAGGGGAGGGGCAGAGAGAGAGGGAGAGAGAATCCCAAGCAGGCCCCACACTTTGAGTGCAGAGCCAGAAGCAGCAATATTGTACTTGAGCCTAGTTTCGGTTGGTCTTGTACAAACCATTCTACAGTATCTGTTAGGACCACATATTCCAAAATGAATATGCATGAATATGTAACCCTAAAGTTAGAATATATAATCCTAACATTCTATAGATACTATAAAAGTGTGCATTTCTTCCATGTAGCACAGCAGCATAGGAGTCTAGCAAAGACCCTGTCCACTGATCTCACTTTTAGCAGTTAACACTTTTTTTGGTTATCTAATGGGCACTCTTCTCTTTTAGAAAACCGATTTCATGAAGGCCAGGGCTTCTGATTCTCTCCAGAGATAATCGAGTACCATTTGTATATATTAGAATTCACACTAATAAATTTTGAGGAGCAGTGTTTTGAGGAGCAGTGTTTTCAGAGGCAAACAAAATCCAAAATTAACTATCATTTAATGGCCCTAGAAACTTTAGTTTATAAAACCTTAACAAGAAAATAATTCCAAATATCTGGTTCAAACCAAGTAGTTACAACACATTTTTGGCTTGAGCCAAACCCAAACCAAAATATTTATAGCTGACTCTAAACTGAAACTTAAATAAAATTGTATTAATTCTGGCCCCATGTCCCCGAAAAGATAGGGCAGAAGGCTGGGAGAATACAGGTACATACATAAAATTACTTCATAGAAACAAAATTTATCTTTGGTAAGTTAATACTCTTAGTTACATAATGCCCTATATGCCTATATATAAAGCTTCATGTTACATTTTTTAAAGTTACATTTTCAACAATCAGGATACCTAATTTGGGTTGTGTCTAAGAAACATCATCTTTGGTGAGATTCTAGATAAATCAAGTTTAAAATGTGACACTTGAGGGGCGCCTGGGTGGCGCAGTCGGTTAAGCGTCCGACTTCAGCCAGGTCACGATCTCGCGGTCCATGAGTTCGAGCCCCGCGTCGGGCTCTGGGCTGATGGCTCGGAGCCTGGAGCCTGTTTCCGATTCTGTGTCTCCCTCTCTCTCTGCCCCTCCCCCGTTCATGCTCTGTCTCTCTCTGTCCCGAAAATAAATTAAAAACGTTGAAAAAAAATTTTTAAAAAATAAATAAAATGTGACACTTGAAAGGCTATGCACAGAAAAAACACTGAAAGAAATACCAGACAATTATTTATCTTTGAAGAATGAAATGTGTTGATTTTTTTTACCTGCCTTTTTATATTGTTGATTTCCTATAATGAGCATTATTGTTTTTATGGTGAAAAATATGGCCATTTTTCTATTTTACAAAGGGGTTGATGAGAACCAAGTAGAAAATTTTTGTTATTTATTCTTTTAAAATTATGAGTGGTACAGTCACTTTGGAAGACAGTTTGGCAGTTACTTACAGAACTAAACATACTCCTAACCATATGATCCAGCAATAGCATCCTTGATATTTATCCAAATGAGTTGAAAACATGTACACACAAAAACCTGCACACAGATGTTTCTAACAACTTAATCATAACTAACAAAACTTGGAAGCAACCATGTTATTCAGCAGATGAGTGGATACAATGTGGTACACCCAAACAATGGAATATTACTCAGCACCAAGAAGAAATGTGCTATCAAGCCTTCATGAAAGACAGGAAGGAAGATTAAATGTATATTACTAAGTGAAAGAAGACAATCTTTTCACTTATATGGCATTCTAGGAAAGGCAAACCTAGAGACAGTAAAAAGATCAGTGGTTGTGGTTGTCATGGGAGAGAGACATGAATAGGTGATCACAGAGGATTTTAAGGGCAATGAAACTAATCTGTACAATACTTTGTTGGGGTGCCTGGGTGGCTCAGTTGGTTAAGCGTCTGACTCTGGATTTTGGCTCAGGTCATGGTCTCATTGTTTGTGTGATTGAGCTCCATGTAGGGCTCTGCACCGGCAATGCAGATCCTGCTTGGGATTCTCTCTCTCTCCCTCTCCCTCTGCCCCTCTCCCACTTGCACTCTCCCTCAACATAAATAAAGAAACACTAATACTAAAATGGTGGGTACATGTATTATACATTTGTCAAAACCCATAGAATTTACAACACCAAGAGTGAATTCTAATATAAGCTGTGGACTTTGGGTAGTGACATTGTCAGTGGAAGTTCATCAACTGTAACAAAGGCACCACTCTGGTGAGGATGTTGTTGGGGGTAGGGGTGCTGTGCATGTGTTGAGGCAGAGTGCATATGAGAACTGTCTATAATTTCTGCTCAGTTTGGCTGTAAACCTAAAACTGCTCCAGAAAATAAAATCTATCTTTTAAAAACTAATGAGTACTCCACCATATGTATATGTACATATTGTAAGTGTCTGAATGAGTGAGATAATCTAGTTTGTCATCAGATCCCAGGGCTTTGCTCCTTCTAGGCACTCAAATATTTGTTGAACGAATGAATAAATAATCTATGTTGAGAGAAGTCACCGGAAAAATTGTTAAACTTTCTCCTTCTCTCCTTTCAACTTTTTAAATACTTTAAAAATATTTTTTCTTTGTGGAAAAAAATACACATTATTTAACATAACCCCTCCTTCATATTACATAATTAGATCACAGAATTGCAGAGAGTAACTACAGGTTAGTTTGCCTAATTACAACCTGAAGACCTGCTCCAACCCCTATATTCTCCTTGACAGAGTCAATGCATGACTTTTATGTCAGCATGGGACGTTATTTTCCATCTTTGTCATTATTATAAAGAATCTTTCATATAAACATTTAAAAAATCACAATTCAGTTCCCTACAGTTAATGTGTTGTTATTTTTAAAAGACAGGTATACTGTGAATTTTCAGCCCTATAAAAAACTTTTTAAAAATAACATTAAAAAAAAAAAAGGTGATCCTCCAGAAACTGGGTAAATTTGAAGTTTCAAAAACAAAGTTAAAATCAATTGATCTGGAATTTGTGGTGCTAGTGCCAAAAGAAGTAATTTAATTCATTTGTTTTTTTCTCCCCCTCAGCATGTTTTGCAATTAGTTAGAAAAATGCCTTATCTACTTATTTAACTCAGGTGCTTAACTTACATTGGTTTTGTTACCCATGAAATGGGTAGGAACAAATCCTAAGATACTATATTGCTGTGAATAGCCTTCAAACGCACAAAGGTTCTAGGTAAATTCTCAGTTCAGGGCCTGATCCTGACAGTCCACACGTATAGTGTGTTTGTATGTCTGGGTGTGGTCCAGGGGAGTGCCTGGAGTTCACTAGAGTTCATTATTTCATTCTCAGCTGTTTTGCTAACTTATTCAAATGATTAAAATGATTTACTTATACTAATTTTTCTTTTCAAAACTCATATTTGGTTTTGTTTTAGTCCATAGTGTGCTACTGTGCTAGGTTGAAGCACTAATGTTTATTCTTAAAGGAAGCTAAATAAAAGATTTCC